GGACAGTGTAAGACATGACAAAATAATTTATAAATTATCAAGGGTTTGTGAGGGAGGAGGGCGGGGAGGGAGGGGAAAAATGAGGAGCTGATACCAACGGCTCAAGTAGAAGGCAAATGTTTTGAGAATGATGATGGCAACAAATGTACAAATGTGCTTGACACTATGTATGGATGGATTGTGATAAGAGTTGTACGAGCCCCCAATAAAATGATTTCAAAAAGAAAAAAGTTTATTTTAATAGGTAGTAGGTTAAATATGTAGATCAGTTTGAGAACTGTTGCTGTTGGCATCTGAGAGTTGTGTTCAACTCATGTGATGCAATAAGTAGAACTGGTCTATGGGATTTTCTTGACTGTAATCTTTAATGGGAGCCAATCACTAGGTCTTTTTCCAGCAGAGCAACTGGGTGGATTTGAACTGCCAACCTTGTCAGCTGGAGGACGAATGCTTAACTGCACTAACAGAGCTCCTTGAGGAATGCTGTTTTCCTGCTCTATTAAGTCTTCTAATTCATGAATTAATGATCTCCTAAGTATTTTTATGCTATTAGAAAATAATGGGGGGGAAATAAAATAATGGAATTATTTTCTAAATTTCATTTTTGATTGCTCATTGTTAGTGTATCGAATAACTTCATTTTTGTATATTGACATTATATTCTGCAAACTTGCTAAACTCTAATTAGTTCTCATAGGTTTCTTATGGATTCTTTAGTATTTTCTGTAGATAAGATTATGTCATCCAATAGGCTTTATTTTATCCTCTCCAGTATACATGTCTTTTATTTGCTTTTCTTGCTAAATTGCCTTGGCTAAAACTTTGTTACAAAGTAACATAAAGGTGACTGTTGCCCTTTTTTATGAAGTAAATATTTTTATATCCATTATTAGTGGAGTATGGTAGCTTCATGAAGTTAGTGTAATTAATTATGTAGGACAGTGACTGTCCTGTTCTGTCTGATACAAACAACATGTAACAATGCTTTTGTCTTTAGTTTTGACCGGAGTACATTTGAACTGTTTTCTTTTTTCCGTCTTCTTCCAGGTTTTCTCAAACAACGATGAAGGCCTTATTAACAAAAAGTTACCGAAAGAACTTCTGTTAAGGTAAGTGTAGGTAAGTTTCAGACTAAGAGTTCGGATCGGTCTTCAAGTTCCAAGAGCTTCTTCTTTCTCACTATGAATCCGTAGCATAGACAGACAGAAGTAGCCTAACTGACTGTTTGTTTTTGTTTTATAGAATGCTGTTCAGCTTGTTGTTAAATTTTACTTGGTCTAATCCAGAATGTACTAAAGTATGTACATAGCATTGGTCTGGATTCTTTTTGTAATGTGGTAAGTATTGCAGTAATCTTCAGTAGGTGCCGCTGTTTCGGTTTCAGTAGATAACTGTAATGTCAGGTTGTGAGTCCCTAAAGACTTTTTGATGCTTTCTGATAGATGTGCTTTTGAACGAGTGCAAAAAAAAAAAATTAGCGTTCTGTTATGTTCTCATCAATCACTTAAAATGCTGTTTCAAATATTGATTAGTTTGCACTCATTTTGTGAGAATTGTGTGCTAAGTGACTGTAAGAACTGTGACACAAGCTTTTAATATTTTTATTTCTGGTACCATTGTATATGAAAGGGTTTCCAAAACTTTATGGAAAAAATTCATTATCTTTTAACTCCAATTTTCCATGAACTTTGTGAAGCCCCCTCATACAATAAATGCTATTTTGTTGGTCAGTTTTACGAAATAAAGCTCCGAAACAACATTTGTTGATCCCGAGGTACTGCCATTTTCTTTAGGATTCTGTAATCATCGAAGAAATCTTATTTTAGTTTTGGACATTATTACATTTTAACTCTTTATAAGACTAATGTATATATAAAGGGTAATTTTTAAATGGCATTTCCCAAACTGTTTCTCATAACAACATTATCCACAATATAAAACAAATAACAGTTCTGTGATCAAATAAATCTGGGAAACCTTGGGTTAAACAAACACAGTCTCTGTACCTAAAATTTTATTTAAATTTAGGACTTCTCAGAGGTATAATAATGACGCCCCAAAATGAGTTGCTGTGGCTTTTCAAACTTTCTGACTCCGGGAGCCTTTTACTGTGATCTTGCTGAACCTCCTTTTCCTATTTGGGGAATAAGGAGGAGCCTCCTTGACGTGCTCGGGGGTCATTCTTTTCAGCTCTACCGAGTGAACTGTGGAGCTGCTGTGTAAACCCAGCAGCTCACTCACCTTTGGTGTTCCTGGGGTGTGAGGACTCACCTTCTTGACGGTGGTGTCCTATTTCAGGGGCTTCAGTGAGTGTTCTTTAGCCTTCATTTGTCATTGTTGTCATGAGCTCATTCTACTCAGTCAAGTAATAAGTAGTTTGATAACAAGATCATATGAAAAGTGTCACAATTAGATTTTATTCCAATAGAACCAGTATTTGTTGGGAAAAGAGACTGTTCTGGGCATTTAGATCATTTTAACTTAAGGAAGTTGTGAAAAACAGGCATGTTTATTTAGCATGTAAGACCACAAGGTCTTGATCCAGCCCAGCAACTGTTAAAACCAGGGCTGCCAGGATAGGGTAGGTACTGCAGCGGCAGGGAACACCACGCACAAGACACTGCCGTGTGCCGGGTGTCTCTACGGTTGTGCAGTGCTCCCGGCCCAGTCAGCATGTCGTTCCAGCACAGACATCAAGGTGGAATATGAATATGGAGTACTTACTCTGGGGAATCATAGTCTGCTTCAGGCTGACCCACATTAGTCACTCAACACTGGGATGTGATTAAACTCCACCCTTTGCATGATTACTTCTGTCTGACTCAAGGATGTTAATTGAATATTTTCCACTTCTGATGCAGTAGCTTTTACACTGTACTAAACCTTGGAACAGTTCCCATCTGTTGGAAAAAGAAGCATGGGGCTAGGCCATACTAAAAAACAAAAAGTGAAGAATCAAGAAATTGCATCACTTTTTGTGTCGTGTGCTCTGTAAGCGGAAGTCTCAAAATTACTTTAGTTCTTTAAAATATCCATGGTGAACCCAGCTGCTAAGAATCCTGGAGGGAGGTTGCCGTCGCTAGTTAATAGCTTTTGAATCGCAAGCTTATACCTTGCGACCATTTGGCACACAACAGTTACCATGTGAGAGTAATGCTTGCAGCATGCCTTCGGAGACTCACAGTCCAGTGCTGTTCTTATTTTGGAATCCGTAAGAGGAATTTAAAGCACTGCCACTACAGGCCTCTGACTCATTAATCTCAAAATTAACTCCAGCTAACCATGACATTTTGTTCGTTTATTTATTTACTTCATGATGGCCTTTAAGTCATTTCTTTTTGCTCTGAGACTTTTTATTCCCAGTACTGGTAGCTCTCCCATTCCCTAGCTTTAGCGTTTTTAAGTGAAACATTGAAGAAGGATGGGAAGCAGGTGACCAAACAGCCATCTTCATCATCTGTTAATTTCCCTGTAAGTGAAATTTCACTACAAGTGAAACTGTATGTGCAACCCAGCCCCACCCCCAGCTCCGTTCAAAGAACTTCTAGCTTGGTCATTTTCTGTTCAGTTACATGATGTCTTCCAGCTTTGGGACTTCCCTAGGCTTACTTTGTGACTTAACATGGTGCCCTTCTGGGACAGTGCCGACTATTGTTTGTATTCCTTTTGAATTCCTACTCACTTCTAGTCTTACTTCATCAGTCAGTATGTGTACATCCTTTGACACTGACGTTCTGATTTGCCAGCAGGTAAGGTCATTTTCTCGTCTGCATTTGTGAGTGCATCTGTTTCTGCCCTCTTAAATTCTCACTCGCTGCTTTACCATTCTCTCAGGAGAAGCCGCAGCTTTTTGGGCACCTTTATTTAACAAGCATGAGTTGGAATGATGTGCGTGCTGCTTCTCATCTCTTTGGATCACTTTGGATCCACTCAGAAAAATCTGTTAGTTTTCTTTCCATCTGATGGTCATACTGCTAATTTTAAGAATACTCATTGCTGTTAATTCACAAATTCCTTCCACCATATGCTTAGTTTATCACTAACAACTTTTTCTACACAGCTTGCACTCATAAATTAAAAAGTACCCCAATTCTTCAATTGCCCTTTGATCCCACACAGCTCAAGCCGCTTGTACTTTTATTCTTCGTGAGGATACATTTTTAGAAAACTTACAACAATGGGAATATTTAATTTGTCCTGTAGTAAATCAGTGTGTCCTTGCTTGTTCTCATAATTACTGTGTAACTTTTGGAGCCAGACTTTCAGGGATGACATTTCCGCGCTCTCCCTAAATTAGCTTTGTGACTTTAATTAATTATTTCTCTGGGCCTTAACTTCATCAACTGTCAAACGGTAATAATAGTTCTTACTCTATGGGGTTGTTGCTACTCTCTTAGCGTGCTTGGGCCTAATCAATGTTAAATGAATATTAAATCTTGTTCTTATTAACTAATACCAAGTTTTGGATGCCTGCTTACTTAATAAATGATATTATTGCTGCAGCAGCTGGTAAGGCAATCTGTCCTGGCCTGGATCTTGATGTATGCTATTGCTAAAATATATCTTAATAACCAAATCCCCAAACCCACACCTGCTGCCAGCTATCAGTTCCAACTCATTATAGTACTATGTAGGCTTTCATGAAATAATATTTAATTTAGCAAACAGCCTCATCTTTCTCCCATAGAGAGACTGTTGGGTTTGAACTGCTGACCTGAAAGTTAGCAGCGGCTTTACAGCTAACTCTCAATACCCCCAGGGCTCCTTATACGATTGCTAAAAATATTTCAACTAATTGATTATTAAGTAAGCCTATGTAGCCCAATATTTCATTACATCAAGATCAACCAATTCATTCACTTCCTGATTGCAAAATCTACAACAAGCCACAGTAGTCATAATAGACTGGTATTAGTACGACAGGCACATAGACAGATAAAATAGAACTCAGACGCCAGAAGTAAATCCGTTCACCTGGAGAGAGCTGGTCTTTGGCAATAGAGTAGATGCCTTAAGTAAGGGAAGAGACAGGCCCACCAGGACATATTAAAATGACAGCGGCTTGGAAAGAACCATTCCCTCTTTTGAGAAGTGACTATCTGATGGAATATTGGCCTTAAACTCAGATTATACACATTAGTGTTAATTTGCTTGGCTTCAAGTTTTTATTTCTATGGTGGTGGTTTTTACATGTCAGTGATAAAATGAAGATATGAATAAAGTGATGCACAGGAGATAGTGATGATACGTGTAATAAATAGCTCCAAAACGTTCTGAGAAGTTTGTGTTAGAATTAAATAATAGTGAAAGAGATCTCTTTAATACAGATTGAAAAAACAAGCTTAAGTTAAATCATTATTGGTGTAATTTTCTCACCTTGTCTAGCTTACTTGCACACACTGCAAAATTAAGTCTCAAAGTGTATGTGGTTGGAGAAGGAAGGTTTGCTGAGTCTAGGGCAATAGAGAACTACAAATAGTTTACAATCGTGTATAATTTAGCAGTTTTAGTAGTGGAATCTGGTAGAGGAAATGATAGTATGACTAGTGCTTACATTTTCAAATATTCTTTTTTGAAGTTTTGTGAAATTGTTTTTTGTTGAATCCTGCTGGTGTGCAGTCACCGAACCTCGGGGAGCTGTTGTAATAGGAGCCCATCCTGTTGTGGGTGTATCGTTGAAGGGGTGTTCTTGCCTGCTGGTTGGTTTCAGTGCTCTGTGGACTAGTTCAAGGACTGGTGCCTCTGTCCTGCTATCTGTGGTACGTGCTCACACACACACACAGTCTACGTCCTGCTATCTGTGATGCGTGCTGCCTTACACACACACACACACACACACAAAGTCCCGTCTGTGATGCGTGTGTGCACACACACACAGAGTCTACGTCCTGCTATCCGTGATGCGTGCTGCCTTACACACACTTACACACACACACACACACACACACACACACACAAAGTCCCGTCTGTGATGCATGCACACAGAGTCTACATCCTGCTATCTGTGATGCGTGCTGTCTTACACACACACACACAAAGTCCCGTCTGTGATGCGTGCACACAGACACACAGAGTCTACATCCTGCTATCTGTGATGCGTGCTGCCTTACACACACACACACACACACACACGCACGCACGCACGCACGCACGCACGCACGCACACACACACACACACACACTCACTCAGAGTCTACGTCCTATCTGTGATGCGTGCTGCCTTTCGCTCGCTGGCTCTCTCCGCCCCCCCTTCACTCCTTCCCTCCCTCCCTCTTCCTTTCTCTTCCGCTTCCTTTCCCTCTCCTTCTTCCTTTCCCTTTCCCTCTCCCTCCAAGGT